CATTGAAAAATCGAAAATCTAAAATCAAAAGTCTAAATACCGAAAAATCAAAACATTGAAAATTCCAGAAATCGAAAAAATCTTCCGGAAAATCCAAAAACGGATAAATTGAAAAATCGTGAAATCGGAAAATCTAAAAGTATAAAGATTTAAAATTCGAAAATCGAAAATTCGAAAACGGAAATTTCGAGAAATCAAGAAATCTAGAAGAAAAAATTAGAAAAACTGAAGAATAGAACAATTGAAAAATCGAAAAATCTATAAGTAAAAGGATCTAAAATTCGAATATCAAAAAATCGAAAATTCGAAAACGGAAATTTCGAGAAATCCAAGAAGAGAGAAGTAAAAAAATGACAAAACTGAAGAACAGAAAATTTGAAAAATAGGAAAGTAACAAAACTGAAAAAATTGAAAATCTAAAATCAAAAATTCAAAACTCGAAAAATTCAAAATTCGAGAAATCGAAAAAATCTTCCGGAAAGTCGAAAAATGGATAAATTGAAAAATCGAGAAATCGGAAAATCTAAAAGCAAAAAGATTTAAAATTCGAAAACAAACAATCAAAAAGTAAAAAAATGGAAAAATGAAGAATAGAAAAGCTGAAAAATTGAAAATTAACAGAAGTGAAAAATTGAAGAATGAAAAACTGAGGAATGGAAAATTGAAGATTCGACAAAATTGAAAAGTAAAAAAATTTAAATATCAAACAAGTGAAGAATGGAAAAATTGAAAAATCGAAAATCTGAAACCAAAAATCCAAAAACCGAAAATCAAAACATCGAAAATTCGAGAAATCGAAAATCCAAAAAACTAAAATTCGAAAAATGGAAAAAATTTTCCGCGAAGTCGTAAGTAAAAAGATTTAAAATCCGAATATCGAAAAATCGAAAATTGGAAACGGAAAATTTGAGAAAACAAAAAATTGAGAAGTAAAAAAATAGAAAAACCAAGAAGAGAAGAATTGAAGAATCGAAAAGTAACAAAACTGAAAAATTGAAGAATGGAAAAACTGAAGAATGGAATATTCGACACATCGAAAAGTAAAAAAATGAAATGTCAAACAAGTGAAAATTTGAAAAATTGATAAATCGAAAAATCTAAAAGGAAAAAGATTTAAAATTCGAATATCGAGAAATTAGAAGTAAAAAAAATGGAAAAACTGAAGAATAGAAGAACTAAAAAGTCGAAAACATCGTCTAAAATGGATAAATTGAAAAATCTAAAAGTAAAAAGATTTAAAAATCGAATATCGGAAAATCGAAAATTTGATAACGGAAAATTCGACAAATCTCAAAACTAAGGAGCAAAAAAATAGAAAAACCCAAGAATAGAAGAATTGAAGAAGAATCAAAAAGTAACAAAATTGAAAAATTGAATATTCGACACAACGAAAAGTAAAAAAAATGAAATGTGAAACAAGTGAAGATTGGAAAATCGAAAAATCAAAACATCGATAAAGCAAATAGAAATTGAAAGTGAACACACGTATTGACTAATCAATAGGACGAGTGGGATCGTTGTTCATGGGCTTTTACAAACAATCTTATCAATGGTTGATATTTCAGTCGTTACCTTATTTTATTATAATTTAGATGAAGTGAAGATTATTTCTGCGTAACTATACTGAAGGTGCCAACTTTGTTGGTGAAATGCGTTAGCAACTTTGCTGCTTTGTGTCGAAAAAATTATAATCGACCTACACTTTTCCTTATCTAACTACGTACGTTTGGTGAAGCAACCAAATGTCGAAGAATATTAATAGCTTTTTAACTGTGGCGACCCTTAAACTTTGCGCAGTTAAGAGAATCACCCGTCCGGAATAGCTATTTGTTGTTATTATGGTAGTTATGAAGTGAGATAAGTGAAATTTACCGACTCGACCCCGAGGCTCTCCACAAAATAACGTTTTGATCGTCATGATTTAATATCTCGCTGTGGCAGGGTTGTCGAACTTCTCACCGACGTAATGGATATGATTATATCGGAGAGTGGAACATCAATTTTCTTGGCGTTGCAGGAATTTTCCCTAAGTCGGCGCTTCATTTCTCTGTTGAATGCTTTTTACTTCAATTTCGGATGGACGTGAATGGTTTCTTTAAAGTTTCGGGTCTCGACGAGGGGGTTTTTTGTCGAGGGAAGTGTGTTTTACATTATCAGCGAACGTTGTTAAGTCAAACTTTTTTCGTCGAGGTGGCGGTTAAAAAGAAATCGACGAGGGTGGTTTAGGGGCGGCTTTACACGATAGACCGCGTAATGTAATGAAAGTTGTACACACCTCTTTCGACGAGCAAATGATGCCTAAATTAGATGGTGTTGGTCGCGTGGAGTTGTGTTTTGTGCAGTTCCGACGTATTAGCTAGATAAGCAAGTCATCTGTCATCTGTCGGTGCTAAGTAGAAGGCGATTAATCTTTTTTTCACTTTTGCAGAGGAGGCATATTGTGGGAGTTGGGATTTTGATGGATGTTTGCATGTTGTCTTTTGGTTTTATTTGTGCTGATGGCTTTATTGTGGTGATAAAACTAAATGTTCTGGTTGTTCTAGTCGCTAGGAGATTTATCCATATCGGTTTTGGTATGAATCTGGGCAATAAAATTTTGCAATAAAATTTTACATCGTCTGAAATGCTTCTGATGGATAAACTAATAGTCCTTTTTTTTCAAAATGAAATTTCTCTTGGACCGTAAATGTGACGTTATTTCATGAAAGCCTCTAACAAGCTTATTGGCATTCCGTATGTACGTTCTATTAATTTCTCTTGTTGAATATGGAGTACACACGAGTTGCGAGCTTTTGACGTAACGTATTTAAGATCAAACGTATTCAGTTGTAAGTGAACGATTGAGTTATTTCAAAGCTTATTCGCGTATAACAGAGAAGCTATAAAAAGTCTATTTAGCAACATCATAAAACTACTCGCAGTGCTTCTGGCTTCACTCCAGTTGACCGTTTTGAAAAGAAAAGTCACACTATATAAAAAGTTTTGTTTTTGTCAGTTATTAAATACGGCGTTCAGGATGTAGAAACTACACGTGTACGATTTTCCTAAAATACATACATATAAAATTTGACAACAATCGGTCCAAATCGAAAAATTGGAAGATCAAAAAATTGAAACATTCCAAAATTGTAAAATTGAAGAACTAAAATTTATATTTGGAAAATAGAAAAATTGCAACCCGGAAAACTGAAATAAAGAAATGAAAACTTGAAGAACTGAAAAATTCAAGTCAAAAAACTGGTTTTACCAAAAAAGTTGTATAGAGACGAAAGAAGTTCTGTCGAAATACCCTCGACAAATTTTTTACTTATTAATTATAAAGATATCGATTTAATTTTTCAATTTTTCGATATTTAATTTACCAATTTTCCGAGTTTTCAATGTTATATTTTTCGACTTTACAATTTTCACGTTTCTACAATTTTTCGAGTTTACAATTTATGGATTTCCCAAATTTTCGATTCGATTCGTTTTTTCTGCATTTTTAATTTTAAAAAATTCCGAAAATTGAAATGTTGAAAAATTGTGAAATCGAAAAAATGAAAAATCAGGAAATCGAAAATTCAAAAAGTCGAAAAATCTAAAAATTGAAAAATCCCAAAACTGAAATGTCGAAAAATTGGGAAATAAAAAATTTGAAAACCCGCAAAAACGAAAATCAAAAAATCAAAAACCGAGAAATTGAAGCATCAAAACATCGAGAAATCTAGAAACGTCGACAAATCGAGAAATCGAAACAGTCCAAAATCGAAAAAACTGAAAAATCTAAAATCGACAAGTCGAAAAATCGAAAGATCGAGGAATCGAAACACCAAAAAATTCAAAAATTCGGAAAATTGAAAAAATGGATATCGATAATTTTTCAATTTTTCGATCTTCGATGTTAAGTTTTTTGACTTTACAATTTTCACGATTCTATAATTTTTCGATTCAATTCGTTATCACTTCTTTCCAATTTTTGGATTCTTTAATTTTTTTCGATTATTAGTTTTTCAATGTTTCGGTTTTCCGTTTCATCAATTCCTCGATTTGCAATTTTTCAATTTTCCACTTGTTTCGATTATTCAGTTTTTTTCCGATTTCTTCGTTTTTCGATTCTTCAATTTTTCCATTTTTCAACTTTTCGAATAAAAAATTGGAAAACTGGAAATCAAAAACTTCAAAAAAAAAACTGGAAAACGGAAAAATTAAAATTCGAGAAACTTAAAAATCGAAAAATGAAAAATTACATATATGGAAAAATTGAAAAATTGCAAATCGAAAAATTGAGAAAACGAAAATTGAAAAATTTTTAAGACGAGAAGTCACAAGAACGAAAAATTATGAAAATGAAACATTGAAAAATGGAAAAACTTAAAATTAAATAAAATATACAAATGAAAAATTGTGATATCAAAAAATGGGTTGAAGGTGAACAAATCCAGATTATTTATTTTTATGGTAATCACACAGACGGAAACGGAAGACCTATTTCATCGTATTCTAAGGGTCATAAAAGGTCACGAAAACAAGAAAGTAGGGAGTCGGTGTATTAATAATTGGTTTTTAGATTAAAAAAGTCGTTTCCATTTTAAATATTCGTCGAAAAAGCAGCGATTAAAAATATACACACATTAGTTTCATAAACGCGAGCTTCTTGAAAAAAAAAATGCGCAAATTCTCAAATTTAAAGCCGCAATTTTCTTTATCTTACTTTATAACTACAATAACTGCAACAAATAACACTTCCACGAGGTCGATTCTCCCGACTGTAGAAAGTTAAAGGGTAACAAAATTTTAAGCTTCCCGATGCTCATTTCTAAGCGACGGAGGTCGTGATGGAACGACATAAACGTTTTTATTATTTCATTAAACGCGATTTACTGAAAATGTATGTGTGATGAATAATTTATTTGTGTGTGAGTAAAATTTTTACGGTAAATAAAGTACGCTTTAGAGTGGTGAAACTGAGTGGTAAACATCAATCGAACTGGTAAATATAAAAGAACGTGAACACTTACTCATCGAGACCGTGTAATCCCAGCTTTCGGAGTCATTTTTGTGTACGTTGAGTTTTTCAGGCTGAAACAAAAGAGAAATCATGAATGGACATGTGTTTACGATTTTTTCTCCCGCTGAAAATTTCTAATAACTGCACGTTTATTTTTACGTTCCGTCGACAAAGACATACGTAAATAAACGTCCGCCTCCGTCCTAATGGAAGACTCACGTGATCGAGCTTATTCCGTCAGTTTATAGCTAAATTACCGAATTTAAACATCACATTTGTGCCGGCGACGATAAACCCGTCTTCGCGTTTGATTACAAATTACAAAATTAGCATAGTCGCAGACAAGAATTTAAATTATGCCCATGATCAAATGTACATTATGCTGGTTGAATAATTTCACTTGCGATTCGTAATTTTCCCCCATAGTAAAATTTACGAACGTCGAGCGGCTCGTAAAAGCCGCTTTATTTTAGGAAACTGAGTCGTGTTATGTTAATAACAAAACCATCAAGTTACGTATTAATTCGAAACTGCCGCAACATGATGGAAGTACGGACGGGGTTGGAATGAACGACCGGAGTTTCGGATGAGTCCAATTCCCGTCTAAAATGGTACGTTTTATTGCGGTTTGTTTAATAACGCCGAATCTAGGAAATTAATGCGGGTCAGAACTATTAAAATGCGTACATCGGAAACCGCGCTCGGGGGCGGCGGGCGCGAAAACGATGTGGTTTTTCCACGAAACGTAAACATCGCGTAGGGATGAAATTTCGGCAATAATTAATTTGCGATTAAAATTACATTTAATGGCATCAATATTGGCATGGGGTTTGGGCTATTAAGGGGATTTATTGCACTGCTGGCGATGCAGTTTAGTACATTCACTAATTTTTAATGAATAACTATAATTACCATTCATGATGATTCAGATCAATGAATTTTTGCCCGGCAGGTGCCTGGCAGTGTTAGTGCAATGTTTGCTGCTACCCACATCAATGTCCAAATAATTGCTGGATTTAAAACATTAAATAGTGTAGGATGAAGATAGACGGAAAATGAGGGTCAAGGTGGCTTTTGTTGCGTTAAAATGGTAAAAGCTCAGTTGACCTCCAGGCGTACGTAAAGTGTCAAATTAAAAATTCTAAACTTTTCAATGTCATCTAAATAATGCTAAAAATATGTACCAAATATCAAAACAAAAATATAATAATGTAACCTAGTTTTACTATTATGTGACAAATTTTGTTGTGATTGACATTTGGAGAGTTCCCTACTCTCGATTGACACAAATCTGTCACGTTTGGGTGTGATTTTTCACCTGATAACACTTTTCAATTAAGTACATGTTTTGGTATGTTTGAATATAAAATCTGTTTTTCGCTGATAATGTCACGTTAGATAGGAAAAAGTTGTGGTGATGAAAACAATAGACCACGAACCCATTTACTAAAAAAAGTCATAAAATGTCCTGTCAACTTCATTTAATTTTTGGTTCCCGTGATCAAATTTATTTCAGAAAAAATGCTTAACATTTGATGACTAAAAACCTCCATATCACATTCGAACGTGTGTGAGTTTCGCATTAGTAGTCCGAAGTCAAAGAATTTAAGCGATATGCTAACGCGAAAATTTGGATGCCTCGGGGAAAATCTCAAGGCGAATTCATAAACAACAAATACAAAAGTATGTTATTTTATAAAATTTAAATCCTTCTTACTATGAAAAATTTTGAAGCAATGTCATTATATTGTTGGTGAAGACGACTAGGCAAATTTTGATTAGCGTTTTACCATCTAGACGATATTCCTAACAAGCATATAAAATTTGACAACAATCGGTCTAGTAGTTTCGGACATAATCTATTTAATATTTAGGGGATCGAATTTGCGGCCTTGGCGTTATAGTGATTGGTTAACGTTATGTAATATATATTTTGGAAATTTCATTCTACCCTATAAAATTTTATTCGCAATAACAAGTCGGACAGATGTTAGAAAGCAGAATAATCCAGATCCGGACAGGGACCATAGTTACTCAGGAACGAAAATGACCATTATTTTATGAGTACAACTACCTGCTAAATGTTCTCCGACAAATTCGGGTGAGCTGGAGCGAGCCATAAATATTTCTTACCATTGTACTACTGTCCGTATCATTATTGTCAATCAAATTTTATAGGGTAGAATGAAATTTCCAAAACTATACAATGTTGTAATAAAATATTGATTTTTTTGCGAAAATTTAGACAGAAAGGTAAAAACCCAAAGCGGATTCATAAATCACAAATGGTTTTTATTTTATTTTTAAAATACATATAAAATTTCATAGTCATAGTTTGGGAAATTATTTGTCCAATAAAAATCGACACAAACAACAAAGAGATAGACATACAGGTAATAGTAAGATTAAAAAAATCCAAATATCAAAAAAAATTGTAAAATCGTAAAATCATAAACTGAAAAATAGCAAAATTTAAAAGTCCAAAAATTAAAAAATTTTAATTCGAAAAATGCATAAACCAAAAAATCGAAATATCGAGTGACCGAAACATCAAAAAATCGAAAAATCTAAATTTTAAAACTTCAAAAAACTAAAATATTGAGAAATTCAAATATTCTCGAAATTGAAATGTTGAAAAATTGTGAAATCTAAAGCGAGAAATCGAAAAATCATAAAAGTCTAAAAAGTTTAAAAATCGGAAAACCAAAATGTCGAGAAATCGAAAATTCGAAAAATTGAAATCTTAAAGAATTGGGAAATCAAAGTATGAAGAAATCGTAAAATCCAAATATTGAACATGTGATTTTTTAAAAATTTGAAAAACTCAAGACTCAAAAAAATGAAAAATCAAAAGAACGAGAAATGGAGAAATTGAAAAATCAAGAAATGAAAAATTGACAAACTGAAAAATCGACAAATTAAAAACCTGAAAACTGAAATGTCGAAAAATTGGGAAATCAAAAAATCGGCAACCGTAAAATTGAGAAATCAAAAAACCGAGAAATCGAAATATCAAAACATCGAAAAATTGAAAAATTAAAACAGAAGGAATCGTAAAACTAAAAAATTGAAAAATCAAAAAACCGAAAAATAGAAAAATCGAAAAACCGAAAAGTCGAAAACCCGAAAGATTGAAAAATAGAATCATGAAACTGAAAAAAGCAAAATTTTAAAATTCGGAAAACTGAAAAACTAAAAAACCAAAACACCGAAAAAATAGAGCCGAAAAATCGAAAAATTGGGCAACAGAAACACTGAAAAATTGTCACATCAGGACATCGAAACATAAAAGGATCGGGAAATGAGGAATCTAAAAGCCAAGAAGTCAAAAATTCCAGAAATCGATATTGCCCAAAATCGAAAATTAAAAACTGAAAAATTGAAAAATCGAGAAATGGAACAATCGAATAATTGAAAAAAATTTCAATTAACTGAGAAATCAAAACATAAAAAAATTGAAAAATCTTACTTAAAAATTTGGAAAATTGAAAAATTGGACAATCGAAAAATAGAAAATCAAGGAACTGAAAAATTGAAAAATCAAAAAACCGAAAAATTTAAAAATTTAAAAACTGAAAATTTGATCAATCGAAATTTCAAAAAATTTTAAAATTCGAAAAATTGAAAAACCGAAAAGTCGAAAACCCGAAAGATTGAAAAATAAAATCATGAAACTGAGAAAACTAAAATTCAAAAATTCGGAAAATTGAAAAACTGAAAACCAAAACACCGAAAAAATTAAAAGCCGAAAAATCGAAAGACTGGGAAATAGAAACATTGAAAAATTGAAACATCAGGAAATCGAAACATGAAAAGATCGAGAAATCGAGAAATCTAAAAGTAGAGAAGTCAAAAATTTTAGAAATCGATTTACCCAAAATAAGAAATTAAAATCTGAAAAATTGAAAAATCGGGAAATGGGACAATCGAACAATCGAAACGTCGAAATCTCAATAAACCGGGAAATCGAAACATTAAAAATCGAAAAATATAACATTTAAAAATGTGGAAAACCGAAAAATAAAAAAATTAAGAAACCTAAAAACTTAAAAATCAGTCAATTAAAATATCGAAAAATCGAAACATTTAAAATCCCAAAATATAAAATTAAAAAAATTTAATCACAAAAAAAATTCCAGTAATCGAAAAATCGAATAAGCTGAGAAAATGAAGAAGCCAAATATGTATCAAAAAATCCCAAAACTCAAATAGGGAAAAATTAAAAAATCGAAAAACTGGGAAATAAAAACACTGAAAAATTGAATCAGGATATCGAAACATGAAAAGATCCGGAAATTGAGAAATCTAAAAGTCGAGAAGTCAAAAATCCCCGAAATGGATATTGCCCAAAATCGAAAATTAAAAACAGAAAAATTGAAAAATCGGGAAATAAAACAATTGAATAATCGAAACGTCTAAATGTCAATAAATCGAGAAATCAAAACATTACAAAATTGAAAAATCTAACATTCAAAAATGTGGAAAAACGAAAAATAGAAAAATCAAGGAACTAAAAAATTGAAAAATCAGTAAATAAAAATTTCGAAAAATTGAAAAATTGAAAAATCGAGAAATCGAAACATCAAAAAAAAACGAAAAACTGTAACATTTAAAATCACAAAATTTAAAAATTTTAAAAAGTAATGACGAAAAAATCAAGAAATCGAAAAATCGATAAGCTGAAAAATTGAGGAAGCCCCAAAGTGAAACACGGAAAAATTAAAAATTCCAGAAATCGAAAACCGAAAAGTCGAAAACCCGAAAGATTGAGAAACAGAATCATCATGAAGCTGAAAAAACTAAAATTTTAAAATTGAAAAACTGAAAAACCGCGACACGGATAAAATGAAAAGCTGAAAAATCGAAAAATCGAAACATGAAAAGATTAGGGAAGTTGAGAAGTCAAAAATTTCAGAAATCGATATTGGTCAAAATCGAAAATTAAAAAAAGAAAAATTGAAAAATCAGGAAATGGAACAATCGAATAATCAAAACGTCGAAATCTGAATAAATTGAGAAATCAAAACATAAAAAAATTGAAAAATCTAACATTTAAAATCGCAAAATGTAA